AATATATATGTTCAGGTCATATGTTAGATAATTAACATACTGCATTTTATAATTTTTATCTTTAGTAAAAATGAACGATATAAATATAAACTATTAACTTACATATTAAGTATCTTTATATTGATTGTAATAATATAAGTTTTGAAATCTTGACTAATTATGATCAATTGATAAGATACACTACAAAAAAATTATTATATTCTAACGAAAAATCCTATGGTAATTTGTTCCATTGAAAATTCCAACAGATATTCTAATGGTATAGCTTCCGTTGGAATGATTCCAGCGGGAATTCCAACGATAATATTCTATTGGAATGTGTTTTCTATTGAAATTTTAGATGGAATTTGATGATTCCAACGGCTTTTTACAATAGGAATTTTCGTTGGAATATGCAATTTCCGTTAGAATTTTTATTTCCACCCCCGTCGAAAAATCTACTGTTGGAATCGTCCATTCCAACAGAAATTTTTTGTTGGAATTTCGTTGGAATCCATTGAAAATTCCAAAGGGAATAATTGGAATTGCCGTTGGAATTCTATTTGAATATATTTATGTTGGAATTTCATTATTTTCTTGTAGTGATAAAACCATATTGAAGTTATTATTATAGCAATTATGTACGAAATTTTAAGGGATCTAGTTGTATTATAAGATAAGAATAATGTTGCCCTTTATAAGATAAGAATTTGGAGCTGGAGAATTTACACGCATATAAGAACCTATTTATTTGGGAAGATTTATAAGATAAGAATCCTATTTATTTATCCTATTTATTTGGGAAGATTTATAATATAAGAATCCTATTTATTTCGGAGTTGCATATAAGAATCCTATTTATTTGGGAGTATCCTATTTATTTGGGAGTTTGAGGGATCGGATTAAGCAAAAATCCTATTTATTAAATATTTTATTTTAAACAATTAAGGAATGTATCCGAACCAAAAGCCCCGAAGCATGTAATGTTGCCAAGTAAGCTTCTGAAGCGTGCGAGACAGCCATTTAGACTCAACACGTTTTCAAATTATATTAATAAAGAGGAGATTTAATATGACTTATGGTTTGTTTGTAATAGCTAATAAAATAAATAATAAATCTAAATACTTTATTAATTTATAAGTAACGCAAAATTGAGGGAAAACATAAAGAGTGTTATTAAAAGTTTGCCTACAATCAAAATATATATATATATAAATATATATACATATAATTAAATCATTGAAATAAATAATTAAAATAAATCTTTAATGTACTTATCATATAGGCCTATGTTTTGGGAATTCATATCAATAACAAGAACTACACATTTTAAAAAGTCAGAACACATTAAAAAAAAATCAAAAAAACACATTCAAAAAAAATCAAAAAAATTATACATGAATGGCCAAAGCAAGTTGTACTATCGGGTAGCGAGGACAGCCAGCTCACACAATCTGGGCAGGCTTTTAAAAGCAGTTGTACTATCGGGTAGCTAGGGCAGCCAGCTCACACAATCGGGTAACCCACCCTTATAAATAGGGGTGAGACATGCGATTCTAGTTCTACGTTCACATATACTCTATACATTTTTCTACGCTTCTTCTTCTGCAAGTGCTCATTGAAGAATCAGAGACTTTTCACTGGAAAACTCCTCCGGTGTAAAAGTTTTGTCAGGCTCGCAGACGATTTACCGATGAGGAAACTCAAGTCTGTGTCAATTCCAGCCGGTCTAGGGTCTTTTGCGTACCAGATAGATAAATTATACCTCCATAGTTAAATGTGTTTTCCATTGAAATTTTAGATGGAATTTGATGATTCCAACGAAAATTTCAATGGAAAACACATTCCAACAGAAATTTTTCGTTGGAATTTTCGTTGGAATCTATTGAAAAATTTCAAAAGGAATAATAGCATTGAAAAATATCCATTTGGAATTGCCGTTGGAATTCTATTTGAATATATTTACGTTAGATTTCATTATTTTCTTATAGTGATAAAACAATATTGAAGTTATTATTATAGCAATTATGTACGAAATTTTAAGGGATCTAGTTGTATTATAAGATAAGAATAATGTTGCCCAATAAGCTTTATAAGATAAAAATAATGTTGCCCAGTAAGCTTTATAAGATAAGAATTTGGAGTTGGAGGATTTACATGGCATATAAGAATCCTATTTATTTGGGAAGATTTATAAGATAAGAAAATCTATTTATTTCGGAGTTGAGGATTTACACGGCATATAAGAATCTTATTTATTTGGGAGTATCCTATTTATTTGAGAGTTTGAGGGATCGGATTAAGCAAAAATCCTATTTAGTAAATATTTTATTTTAAACAATTAGGGAATGTATCCGAACCAAAAGCCGAAGCATGTAATGTTGCCAAGTAAGCTTCCGAAGCGTGCGAGACAGCCATTTAGGCTCAACACGTTTTCAAATTATTTGAGAGTTTGAGGGATCGGATTAAGCAAAAATCCTATTTAGTAAATATTTTATTTTAAACAATTAGGGATATCTGAACCAAAAGTCGAAGCATGTAATGTTGCCAAGTAAGCTTCCAAAGCGTGCGAGACAGCCATTTAGGCTCAACACGTTTTCAAATTATATTAAGAGGGGATTTAATATGACTTATGGTTTGTTTGTAATAGCTAATAAAATTAATAATGAAAATAAATACTTTATTAATTTATAAGTAACGCAAAATTGAGGGAAAACATAAAGAGTGTTATTAAAAGTTTGCCTACAATCAAAATATATATATAAATATATATACATAAAATTAAATCATTGAAATAAATAATTAAAAAAAAATAAATCTTTAATGACTTATCATATAGGCCTATGTATTGGGAATTCATATCAATAACAAGAACTACACATTTTAAAAACTCAGAACACATTTAAAAAAAAAAAAATCAAAAAAATTATGCATGAACGGCCAAAGCAAGTTGTACTATCGAGTAGCTAGGGCAGCCAGCTTACGCAATCTGGGCAGGTTTTTAGAAGCAGTTGTACTATCGGGTAGCTAGGGCAGCCAACTCACACAATCGGGTAACCCACCCTTATAAATAGGGGTGGGACGTGCGATTTTAGTTCTTACGTTCACATATACTGGGCAGCCAGCTCACACAATCGGGTAACCCACCCTTAAGGGTGGGACGTGCGATTTTAGTTCTTACGTTCACGTATACTTTATACATTTTTCTACACTTCTTCTTCTACAAGTGCTCATTGAAGAATCAGAGACTCTTCACTGAAAAATTTCTCTGGTGTAAAAGTTTTGCCAGGCTCGCAGGCGATTTACCGACGAGGAAACTCAAGTCTATGTTAATTCCAGTCGGTCTAGGGTCTTTTACGTACCAGATAGGTAAATTATACCTCCATAGTTACCCAACTTGTACCATAACATTTGTGTACACGAAATATTCATGATAAAGAGATTAATCTAAATTAAGTTTTCACAGATGCACAAAACGTGTGAAGGGAGACAATGAGCCCAGAAAGGAGGCTAATTAAGATGAATATGAACCAATAAGGCTACTATAACAGTTGTACACAAAACCATCCACGTCTCAACTGTAACCCGATATCTACAATCTACCACTAAATTGACTAAAATTATTATTAATCTTTTCGTTTATTTTGATAGGTAGCCATAACCATAATCCTGCTGGGCTCCATTTTTCCTCCAAGCTCATTAAATTTTCTTGATTTGGGTCGGTGCCAAACACAGCTGTCACGTACAAATTTTGCCAAATTTTTTTCTGTCCTGCTGGTTTGGGGTGATTATGAATTTTAACAATTAGGTGATAACTTGATCAAATAAAAAACCTTTAAGAAACTAATGAAATATAAGAAAGGAATACCTAAGAATTTGCTTACTACATAATGGTCCAAGCATATGAAAGGCCTTTGGCCATACTTGTATTTATACTTGTCCCTCAAATATTGAAAATAGTGCCAAAACACAAAAGAAAAGGATAAGTAATAAGTGTTCCATCAATTCCACAAGGGCCTTCAATTCTCTTTCTCAATATAGTCTAAAAAGTTTGCCTTTTTGTTACCTTTATAGTTAAGATCATTGCTATATACAGAAGAAAAAAGGACAAAAAGGGCAGAGGAAAGATGGGAAATAAGAACAATTGCAATAGTATTCCAAATAAAAAGGAGGCACCTTTGTTTTCTTGGCCATGGGAGAATTTGGGCAGTTTCAAGGCATGAACTTTATTTTCATCCCTTCAATCATTATTTTTATTATATTATTTTTAACTTTTAAGTAACTGGTTACCTGATTTGCTTTATTTATTTTTTTGTTCTTGTTTTGTTTCAATGGAACAGTACTTGTTGTACGGACCATTAGTGGCAAAAGTGGTATATGCTCTTCATCAAAAGGGAGAAATCAAGAATGATGATGTTTGGTGTTTGCATATACTGATGTTGTTTGGATTGAGAGCCCTTGTTCATCAGCTATGGAGCACGTTTTCTTGCATGCTTTTCCTTAATCGTAATCGACGAATTAATCAACAAGGCATCGAGTATAATCAAATTGATGCAGAGTGGCACTGGTATGATTTTCCAATTTTTACTTCTTTTAGCTCATATTTTACCTGTACTATGTTCAAAAAGAGAAATTTTGTAGCCAAGATTCTGTTTTTTTTCTTTTATCTGATTATTAAATCAATATTTTGGTCTTTTTTGTTGTCCAGGGATAATTTTCTGATACTCCAAGCTATGTGTGCCTCATTCTTGTGCTTGAGTTTTCAATCTTTGGACAAATTTCCATTCTGGGATTTGAGGGGATTTATCTGCTGCATCACACTCCATATTACAATCTCTGAGCCACTTTATTACTGGCTTCATAGATTATTATTACATTCCTCATCTCTTTACCATAAGTACCACTGGCTCCATCATACCTCCAAAGTTGTTCATCCTTTCACAGGTAATATAAACAAATGATGTTCTTGTTTCAAAGAATAAAGCTAAATTTAATTTTTTTCTTAAAAGAGTAATATCTTTTTGTCGGAATAATTTGCTTGTGCAGCCGGGCATGCGACTTTCTTGGAACACATATTGCTATGTGTAGTTGTAGGAATTCCGACACTTGGAACGGCTTTTTTCGGATATGGATCGATAGTCGGCACATATAGTTACCTTTTGGCCTTCGATTTTCTTCAGTGTTTGGGGCACTCAAATGTTGAAGTCTTTTCTTATAGGATATTTGAAGCTTATCCCCTCTTCAAGTATTTTATCCGCACGCCTACGTAAGTCCTGACTCGTTTCTATCTCTAATATCTGATTTCTGATCTAATCTTTCCGCTCGTTTGTACACGTTTTCGCCCCAAGTTCTGGCGAGCACTTATTGTTTCCCTTTTTGGTGTTTGTAATTTCAATTTAGAAAAATGAATTTAACAGAGAAGTAAAGTATAAGGCATATATGGTTTAGACACTCTGAACCTGCCACTTTCATGCTGTCTTTTTCTGCTTAACTTTAGATGGGACTCTGAAGCTATATCCATTAAGATTTTTTCTTTTTCTTTTTCTTCTAGCTACATAACTGTATGTATTGATTTATATTCACATATCAGCAAATTTAAACAAATTTATGTTATAATGTTTCCTCAGATGTTTTAGTTTTGCATTTAAATTGTTAAACAAATTTATGTTATAATGTTCCCTCAGATGTTTTAGTTTTGCATTTAAATTGTTTTTCTTGTGCTCTACTACTCTGCAGATATCATAGCCTTCACCACACAGACATGCGAACTAATTTTTGCCTCTTCATGCCTATGTATGATAAGTTGTGGAAGACAATGAACACCGATTCTTGGGACCTTCAGAAAGAAATAAGTTCAAGAACAAGTACTCTTTTTTTCTCTCTGTGGAAATTAAAGCCAGTTTAAGTACTTTATGTCGCGAAATGATTTGCAGTATTGTTTCTCTTAACATCAACTTCAACTTTATATTCTGCATAATATAGTCAGAGTAAGTGGAAGAATTGCTTTAGTTTCTAACTAAAATATTTCATCTATAAATTCACACTTGCAATTTCCAATAGGTTTCTTTCTCTCCTAATGCATGAAATTTACCTTCCCTTATAAGTCCTCTTTAACACTTTTGATATATGGAAATTCACAGCAAGCAGAGTACCGGAATTCGTGTTCCTAGCACATGTAGTCGATGTGATGTCAGCATTGCATGCCCCGTTCGTTTTCCGAACATTCAACTCGACCCCTTTTGGCATAAAGCCCTTTTTGTTTCCAATGTGGCCTTTCACATACTTAGTCACACTTCTTATGTGGGCAAAGTCAAAAACCTTCTTGTTCAGCTTTTACAACCTCAGAGGAAGACTTCACCAAACTTGGGTCGTCCCAAGGCTCGGTTTTCAGGTTTTTTCCCTTTTTCTTTAAAAAAAAAAACANAAAAAAAATTAAAATTGTATACTGCTGCACTTAGTTATACTATTTTCTGTTCCTCGTTAAAGGTATTGTCGTTTTTATGTTTTGCAGTACTTTTTGCCTTTTGCTAAAGAAGGCATAAACAATCAAATAGAAGATGCTATCCTTAAAGCAGACAAACTTGGTGTCAAGGTTATTAGCCTTGCTGCACTAAATAAGGTTTGTGTGTGTTTACATTTAGGCTTGTGTGTTTTGTCATTTAAGAATACAACTATTTTAAGCAAAAACACCTATTTCTTTACTGTATAGAATGAAGGCCTTAATGGAGGTGGAGTTCTGTTTACTAACAAACATCCGAACCTTAAAGTTCGCGTGGTCCATGGGAACACATTAACAGCTGCTGTGATTTTACACGAACTTCCTAAAAATGTGGACGAGGTTTTTTTGACTGGGGCTACTTCTAAGCTCGGGAGAGCCATTGCTCTTTACCTTGCTCGACGAAAGATCAGAGTTTTGGTAAAAACATTAATCCATGACCAAAGTGAAAAATAATATTGTTAATTGGGATAATTCTGAATTTTATATTTCACCATGATGATTCTGAAAAATTCTAAGTATGATGAGAATATGTATGTACAGATGCTAACTTTATCCACTGAGAGATTTAGCAAGATTCAGAAAGAAGCACCTGCTGACTGCCAACAGTATTTAGTTCAAGTCACCAAGTATCAAGCAGGTCAACACTGTAAGGTAAATTACTTGTAAAAGGATAAATTCAATCAAATTAACTCAAAGTGAGTGTTTTTTTTTTAGTTAACTATGGGTAAAAATAGTATAATTAGTTGTTAGTGGGATTTTGACAGTATATTAAAATAATATGTAAACTAAAATAACTGAAGTTGATTTGATGTAAAAGTATGAGAGAGATGATATGAAGTGATGGTTAGTTAACATTATGTGAGTATATGAATAGTGGATTAAATATGATATGATGTGTAAAAATGATTGGTTGTTATTATTTAATGATTGATTGTTATTATTTAATTATATTGATAATGTTAAGGACAGTGGGGTTGAGTTAAAGGTGAGTTAGATTTTGAGTATGAATTAATTTGGTTTGAGTAAATTCTTTTACAAACACACCTTAAATTAACCCAAGAAATGTGGCCAAGAGACACCCAAAAAAAAAAAATGAAAAAGTTTGGTTATTTTTATTTCAGACGTGGATAATCGGGAAGTGGACGACGCCAAGAGAGCAGTATTGGGCCCCATCAGGCACACATTTTCACCAATTTGTGGTCCCACCAATCATCCCTTTTAGAAGGGACTGTACTTATGGAAAGTTAGCTGCAATGAGGCTCCCGAACGATGTTGAGGGGCTCGGATCATGCGAGGTAAAAATAGGCATGAAAATTTCATCACATTAGTACAAATTTGTCCCATTTATGTCCAAATTACTTGTTACTAGCAATATATACTATAACATCAATACATGAATCATCTTATTAGATCATGTTTCTCTTTTATCATCAATCATCATTTGCGCGTAAAAACCTTACATATAAGAGTGACTAATGTTTGAAATTGGACGACTTGCTCTCGTCTGTTTTTTCTTTGTTTTTTAAAAAAAATTAAATATATCAGTATACAATGGGACGAGGAGTGGTTCATGCGTGCCATGCGGGAGGGGTAGTTCATGCTCTACAAGGTTGGGAGCATCATGAAGTTGGGGCAATCAATGTTGATCAGATTGATGTTGTTTGGGAGGCTGCACTAAGGCATGGACTTAAACCCTTATAGATATATGCATACATCTTGTAAACTTGCA